CGGAAACGTATGGTATACATAAAGAATGCTTTACAATTAAAATGGCATGCAAATGCTTCGTTGCAAATCTGCGTAACAATTGTTTATTTTCAAAATGCGATGTCAGTTGCTGACTTTGTTTTAGCAGTCAATAGTCTTTTTCTTACTAAATTAAACAATAATGATGTCAAGTCAATATTGAAATGACGTCAGGTTTCTGAATGTCAGCAGATATGGTACGAACTATATTAACTCAAACAAATTGATAAAATGCAAATCCTAGTCAAAAGTAAGGAAATGTATGGTTCCGGAACCACAAGTCGCCAACTGCACTATCGTTGATTGAGTTTTCTCCCTTGCATTACATGTGCAATTCCATTTTTATTAGGACAAACATTAAAAGAATATCTCTCCCTCTTGGTTAGGGAAGTCTCAACCCGATGCAGAAGACTCTTAATGTGTCAATCACGAGGCTTTGCCGAGTGTTTTGCAACCTAAGAATCTTTCCCCGAAGGTCGAGATTCCGAATCTCATCCCAAGGGGTGAATGATTTTTTTATTTTACCCTGATTCCTCATTGTGTATCATTAAAAAATAAAGTAAAAGTTACAGGCTAAATCCAGGGTTGACGTGACGTCAATGCATTGTTGACGTGACGTCATACAATTGTTATGAATAGGGGAAATCCTCCGTCTCAACCCTAGGTTGAAACAAGGATATCTCACTTCGGAAAAAGTGTAGGTTCATCTGTCTAGGGTAAGAATAAACCTGTCTCCATCTAGCTAGAGAAAGAAAGCTCGTGATTTTACCGTTTTTTATCACACAGGAAAAATGAATTAATTTTCCCTTGAAGACAAATACAGTCTATTACCTGTTGCTGAGAGAGTTTGTTTAATCAGCACAGTGTCCTAGAGTTCATACTCTGTAAAGAACCGATCACGACGAAATCTTTGGTCGGGATAATTACGAATCTTAGCCCGAATATTATATTTCTGCTTACAATATTACGTGATCTACTTGTAAGTGCATCTTCAACGTGACAATACTAATTATAATTGCGTAGTCTAACTCTGCTAATATCAACACAAAAATGAAATATGTCATATCCGTAATTTTAAAAAATACATTTAGTAAGAAAATACATCTCTGTATAAATTCGTCTTCCTTTGTTTTAACATGAAGCCTTGATTTCAATCAGAATGAAAACGCCCATAAAGATGATAAATATTCAAGGATGAATCGATAAATAATGTTGATAAATATAGATATCAAATTAATAGTTTATTACAAGATTGTTTTTGCCTATAACGATAAGACATCGACTTTGACGTATTGATTTAAATAAACATTATATTCATGAATTATATGGTTTTCAAAATACAAATCAAATTCGTCAATGGTGATTTACATATATGTACATAAAACAGTTGCATATAAATATTTCTGTTATGTTTAGTTGACTTTGAGATTACAAAGCTTAGATATTGAGATGTTTGAAAATAACTAGTAGTGTTAATTTGATCATCAAAATAAAAAAAACTAAACGCGCAGCGTTGTATTGACAGTTCAGATATTGTTTTTTTCTTTTTCTTATTTAAGAAGAAATATATGCATTCATGTACACTGTGCGAAAACATTTAAAGATGAACGCAACACACACAAACACAGTGACAGACTTTTTAAATTTGGTAACAGATACAGTTTGCCAAAAACGAATTACACTGCATCAGACAGATATTTCGTCTTTCTATGATTCTTCAAAGAAGCCAGGGGCCACACAATTATAAGATTCTCACTACAGTCGAACATTGATGTTTCGAACTTTGAGGGAACATTAGAACAAATTGAATCATTGCAACTTCCACTCACGAATGTTGAACATCGACCATAGAAATCCTGTACATAAGACAGGATGTGATTCTGAAGCAACAGCTAAGAGTATAATTTTATATGTGTAAATATAAAATAAATTATTAAGAATAGATTTTTTATTTACACCATGTTGTTTGCGTGGGTATTTTATCAATCCGACATTTCTTTGTTTGTCCATTAAATTAATTGTAGTCCGTTATTCATAACGATTTATTAGTTGAAATTTCAATGTTTTCATAACAAACTGGCTTCGATAATATTTCGAAACAGCGAGAAATTCAATTCATAAAACTTTAGTTCATGATTAGAATATTAGAATTGTTATATAAATGCATGTTTTATATAAAAGCTTTTTAGAGTGGCTTATGTAAGCTAGATAGGGCGCTATATCAAATGTTGTATATTATTATTATTAAGAGAAAAACAGGACTTTGCCGGAGCTTCGACACATAGAGCCATTCGAATTTTTAAGTTCGATTTATGGAAGTTTGACTGTACCACAAACAAATCACCATGAAGTGTTATTACGTCATCACAAACAGCTTCCAAACTACCACCGCCATTTGTTGTATAATAATAGTCTCGTGGTAGACAACAAAGTAGCTCTGGAAGCCATCTCATTAAAAACAAAGTTAAGCTACCAATGTACAATCGGTATGGTGAGATAATAATTCAAAGCGATGTTTTCACTTGATTTATTGGGGGAAACAACAACAGAACTATTTCTTACTCATTGGTACTTCCGAAGCTAACCTGACCCACTATTGCATAACAATATGAATTCAATGTTTCATATGTTATTAAGTAAACATCAAGACAGCTTGGTCATTATTCATTCTATTGTAAAATTATTTCTTTACCCCAAGTTCTGTCGAACAATCATGTCTCCAGAAATTTTCTTTAAATCAATGTATACACTATGATTTGTAAAACAATTCAAAATAGTATTTTGAATTACAATATTCAGCGTCTGATTATAATATATAAATGGTGTATTTTTAATTTTAAGTGATTTCTGGTGTTTGAGTTCTATTATCATGTTATCAATCACCTTGACAATCAGTTTCTAGAAACACGATTCGATTGCTGTATCTAAACTTCAATGAAACAGTAAAATCAAAATTCTTCAAGAAAAATATATATTACGTATGGCGTTTCAGCCATGTTATTATTTAAGATACCTTAATTATTTAGTACGTTAATATTGATCAAGGTGAAAGTACGTAGACTAATTTACCATTAGGCTCGTTTAATTTAAAATGAAATATTTGTTTATTTGAACAAAGCATTTCAGATGAATAAGAATATAAGAATATGTAATCATTTTAACTATGCCTCGATTACAACTATTGTCCTGCAGTACGGTTAAAATGAGCTACATATATAAAAGTCAAGAATGACAGAGACAATATCTGTGTATTGTTCTATACCATCAGACATGTCAGATAGTATTCAAATATAATAACGAAGTTAACCCTTTCGAGGTCCATGTTCGATCCATTAAAAGACGTATAATGATAGATGGGCTTTTGTAAAACTGACTGATCGAATACAACAAAAGGATCCATTGTATGTATTTATCATATCATTTCCGGTCGATTGTCATTCATTTTTCGTTTTACAAATTTCTGCACATGAAAATTATTCTTAAAACTTTCTTTTTCAATGAATGATTTTTATCGATTAATTAACACAAAAAGACATCAATACTCTGTCAGAAAAACAGCAAATATGCTTGATGATGTTGCTTTGTACGCAGATGAAAGAGAAAACGAGCCCGCGTCCTCATATATATAGACTAGGTATCTGGAACACCTCATTATTCTACTGTGTATTGATTCATATAACACAAGGTCATGGTTTGCACTGATACCAATTAAAACCGATACTATCGTATGTTTTCCTTCTTCTAGAAACCAACATGATATAACCCTACGAGTATTATCTTGATGAAACATGCTTGTGAAAACGGAAACAATATTTCAAGACAATTTTATCAAACAAGCAAGTCCTGAGATTGAAAATAGCGTTCATGTGATATTTAACATGATGTCGTATTATTACAATTGTTTATGTAATGTATATATATATATACTTGTATAAACAATAACGTGTCATCAGTCTTTCATATCACGTTATTTTCCCATTTGATTCTATGTTTATGTACTTTTTTTTTTATAACTTTTGGTTTGACGTCCAATTTTGATCAAACTTGACATCCTGTCAGTGAATTATCATGTGCTTCTTCTGGTAATATTTATATAAGTATCCCTGGTTCAGTTATTGAGATATTATTTTTCATCCCAACATCTAGGTAATTATTTGACGTCACATTTCCAAATGGCACAATTTTAGAATTTTCCGTAAAATTGTTTTGTCTTGAAACCCATAATGTTTGAAACGGATAATCATATTAATATTACCAAGAGAGGAGCTAGAAAATGTGCCGAATATCATCAAATTTTCACACCAAAAAAAGCCAGTAAAACTAATTGTTCAAAAGTTAAAAATAAAAATGGAATCCTGTTGGAAAATGAAGTAATTTGAAAGACGTATAGAACCTCATAAACATATCCTTTTTTCTTGATTTGATACTAGGCTATCAAAGGGAGGATTGGCTAGTACATTGTATACAAAGTATGTTGTGTGACAAGAAAAGATGATAATTGATAATGAATCGAAGCTAACTATACGTATTCACTTTTTCCGTATTGCTTATATATATAATTATGTACATATAATTAAAGAATACTTCATCAATTTGAATCGGTTTTCACAACACAAACATATCAATGTTCATCGTTTTAATGTGTTTCATTTGTTAAATTATACCTTAAGTCAATCAATTGCAGTCTAGAGCAATTTTGGAAGTCTTTCCATTAATATGTACATCTCTTGTTCACAAAATCTGAATTTTGCGATAAATATACACAGTCTTAAAGAGAAGACATCCTTATATCGTCTGAATCATGCCTTTACAGTCCCTACGCCAAAATTGACGAACTTCCACAGGTTTTTATACATTCTATGATTCCTATATACTACAATATAGCATTTCTTCTGGGCATGCGCAGGAACCGACATCCTTTAGCAGAATTTCATCGGAAATGAATGGGGGTCACACCGAAACAGCATATGATGTCATCAACATCAGGGACTAGAATGAAGATCCTTGATTAGATCTAAAAAAACAAAAAAAGAACTGATGATATGACCATTCAACTCACACAATGTTACCTTTACTAAGGAACAACCGGAAGTCGTAAGAATGATGATGGTGTGTCAGCTGTTTTTGTTTAACCTTTGTCACAGCACATATCTGATTTGATGAAACAAGTGGTGAACGGGATGAATATCCAAGAATTGATATTGATTCTAAATGCCTATTGTTATGTCCGTGTTTATGGAATCCAATCATCAATGATATGATATATACAATATATGGTATTAATTAAAAATACGACAAGATATCCTCGCGAATAATAGACGAGTGTTATTTTTATTGTATTTCATTTATTAAAAATACAGTCGTGTAACCGCACAAAAATAGCGTGCGTACAGCTAGCATACACCGAGCACACACCGTCCGCATATCGTTCGCACATGATTTATCAATCGTTCACCCCGTTGTGCGCTTCTCTTCGCACAGATATGCGAGTTGGTACAATTGGTTGATCAATATAATGAAAAATATCAGGAACGCTCGTGTGGAATAAGGAACACTGTATATATGAATCTCTCATCATATTAACTAGGCTGTCAAAGATGGCTCCCTGGCAACAGAACTGGTAAATAATACTTTGATGATTGACCGAAGCTTGAATTGGCCTGTGCCTGACAAAGAGAGCTGATTTACCGTTATAAAAAAACTGAACGTTACGTTCTGTTTTTTGCATACATTTTTGACTATTACTCGCCTTTACCTGGATTTTCACACTTGGGCGTTACGTAAGTGCCCCGGTTGGGGAAAACTACAGTCCAGGTACAAAAACAGTTGTGCGCACCATGTGTGGACTTCTGTTTATGTTTGTAATGTTATAGTATTGCTATAAAGTGTTTTTCAGTTATTTTTGTACCGTAATTAAACAATTTGTGTCAATAAAAGTAAGTTTAAGTAAAGGTACATGTAAATATCTGTTGTCCAATCAAGCTGAGCCAATCAAATTGAAAATCAAAGAAATACGTTGCAGTACGTTTATGTGCAACATGTTAACGACATATACTCTCCACATACCTCTATATTCGATTTGTCCTCGGCTGTCCTTCTTTGCATATCGAATAATTTCTTCAACTTCATCCGGCGCCATCTTGTCCCCCATAGTTGTCAGATACCTTCGGAAATCCTTCACTGGTATTTTACCAGTTCCGAGTTTATCAAGAACCTTAAATGCGCCTAACACATCTTCCTCTTCTTCTTCCGTCCTATGACATATCCCCCCATGACGAGACACGTATTTCTCCACATCAGCATATGTTAAACGCCCGCTAGCTGAAAATGAATAACGCACAGGTTTACGTATATTTTGTTTAAACTTTGTGGTTATTAATTGTTTGAATCATATTAACATTGTCATAAAATATTCCGGGTTATATGCAATATTGTCATTAACCTATAATAAAACCCCTGGTAGATTCAATGCTATTCACCATTTTTGTATTTCCTTAATAAGACCGACGTTATTGTATGTGTACAGAAACGTAAGAAATACGTACGAAGTGTTAAATAATTGTCCACTGAACATATCCTGTTGTTGAATACTCTATGGTGCCTCATTTGTTGACAGTGAATGGTCCTAAATAGTTCTCTATTAGCGGGGCAACTCAATCGCCGGGTTTTTATATTTCAAGGCTGTGATTGTTGCAAAAGTATACAACAAAAAAATACTGAAGTATAATAGAATATAATAAAAAATCCAAATATATGAAACTAGGGCAAACTATAAATAATGACAAGAATCATACGGCGACACTTGAACGTTCATACAACTAAGAAGTAAATCAAAATGCAAACTCTATGATGTAAACAACATATTTTATTTTTATATCAATATCATAACACTTTGAATGCAAAATGACCAAGATGTCTAATCATAATCTGAATTAAGCCTTGTGATTGTTTTGAGGATAATTCTTACCGCTGACATCAAGTTCTTGTCTTGCCTCTTCGAGATCTCGTTCTGATGGATTCCACCCCAAGCACCTTAACATAGGACCTAAGTCTCGTGCTGATATTTTACCCTTTCGTGACGTTTTAAACATTCCAAAGGCTTGCTGTAGGTCTGAAAAATACAATCATCATTGTTATTCTTTCTATCTTAACGCATAAGTGAAATATAGGGGAAATATATCAATTGAAGATTGAACGGCAAAGTACATGTATATATAAGTATGCATCATCTTCAACTTTCTTACCATCGACATAACAACTATGCAGTATATGTATGCTAGCTTATGGACTCCTTGGCCGGAAATGTTATATCTGGTTGCAAAAATGTTGCCATTGTCGCCTTTTCGCCATAACAAGTACATTTGGGTTACAATGTGACTTGATCTTATTGACCAGTATTTGAAAAATGAAGAGATATAATGAAGCTTCGCTCCGGAATTTTCTATCTATATTGTACTGGCAAATGGAATCTGGGTGTTTTTTTGCACCTAGTACCACAGATGAGTCATTAAAGGACGATATAGGTGTATGGAGCTCTGTTATTCCTTTTCACGTGCGGTATTTATTAAAAAAATAGCTACAATTACATTCTTATAATCATATTCACAAGATATGGTTTCAATGTCCGTAATGATTAGGTAACGGTTTGGTATACATTCCGTCTTTTCGTATTGCAGAGTGATCTGCTCTTGTGAGCAGGTATTGATTGTTACGTCATTAGTTTGTGTGAGAAAATTACGTCATTTGCTCAAAACAATGGTGACGTAACTCTCGCTGATGGTTTATTTACTTTTGATCGGTATGTTTGTCGTTTCAGAGCACCAGTTCTTGGAATAATTGCCGGAATAGACGGTGTAATTTGTATCGTTGTTTTTACAGCAGTTCCTGTTGTTGTCCTAGGTGTTAGTTAATGTTTATTTTTGTCTTTATGTGTTATGCAGTATATATTTCTTCTTATTTTTTGTTTATTTCATTAGAGATACGAGTACTGACATTGCAACGTACGAATGAACATAAAATAGAAATATTTGTTTCTTATATTGAAATACCGAAAAGGTGACAGCTATGAGTTTACAACATGGGCACCAACAGATTAATCATAAGGTTCAACAAGCCCCCTACAAGATGCTGTAGTCACCTAAAAGTGCAACCCCTGATAAGTCATGTTCTAAGACCTAAATAAAAAATCGGAACTTGTATACGTTATTTGTGTTTTTGAACTTGTCCATTGGCTATACAAAACATACATAGCCAGGTTAACGTAGTCAAAATTATGGCATTAAAGCTGATGTCTTCATAAACTGATGTCTCACTAGACTTATAACATGTCAATCTCTTTTGCGATCCAATTGAGTGGTGAGATATGACCCATAATTTAAAGTTTATTTATATACTTAGGTCATGCGGAGCTTTGTTTCTCTTCTACTAGATGTTGAGAGGAACTCCGACATAAAATAAAAAATAGATGATGCCATGGGAAATCACTAAAATAATAGTAAAATCCCCTGGTCATACATTTTAGCAATTTATAAATAAGAAAACAAAGGCTAAGTAACCTTGATCGATAAATGAACTTTAGATGATGTGCCATTTGATAACATTCTGTGATTATACGAATGCGCTAGACATGTTATAAACATTGAAGATGAAAAGAACAATAATGTTTATGACAAGTCTAGCTCTTTTATAAAAAAATGATTGTTAAGAAAGGACATTTTATATGAAGTTTAAGTAGTGTTTATGGTCAAAGGTCTATGGTTTTACACATATATATCGGTAACATATGTTACGCGGACGTTTCTGGTACTTTCCAATAGCAACAATCATCTTCTTGTAAGGCCGGTATACCTCCCCACCGAAGTTAAAGAGAAATATAGCCCCGCATGACATAAGTACATAAATGACCTTCAAATAACATGCCACTTCGTAATATTCAGTTGGGTCGCTTAAGACATTGACATGTTATAAATCTGTACAAGTTCAATATATTCAAATTACAAATAAATATTCCAATTTCTGATAATTAGGGATTTCCATTTCGGATGGAAATCCCTATTGTTATTGTTATGTATTTTTCTCATTCTTATTATTCTTATTTCCAGAAATCTTTTGGACATTTTATCTCAAGAACGACCATAACTTCAAAAGCCTTCGTTGTTCTGCATAAACGATATGTGGATCTTGTAGATCTTGGTCGGGACTAACTTTTTCCCATGACATGTTTTCAGAGAATATGTGAAGTTAAAAGCCTCGCTATGGGGTCAAAAATTAAAAACTCAAAATAAGTTCAATGTGTATCATATCGCAAAGGGCATGTTCTAATGAAGGTATTTCCAAAGTTTCAAGATCATAGCATCAACAATGACGAAGATATTCCACTTTGAAAATGTTCAATTTCCCGCCAAAAATCAAAATTTTCAAAAATGCACTTAAAACTCTTCTTATCCGTCATCAAGACACAGGCAAAGTTGTTATTTAGTACATCCATCGATGTATCCTTACCTACAAAAATAACGCATATCATTGACCTTGACCTACATTCAAGGTCACAGGGGTCAAATGTTCTTGTAGACACTCTATCTCAAGAACGAATAAAGATATAACGTTCATATTTTAGTATGTATTAGAGGTCAACGAACACATGGTATGCGAACAAATTCATGATCATAATATCAGAGGTCATGGTCACAGATCTAAAAATAGAGTTTTTTTAAAACGTTTTTCGAATGACCCTAACTTCGAAAGCTTTCGTTGTACTGCTTGAACGTTTCATACTTCTTGATGAACATGGTCGGGGCTAACTTTTTCCTATGATATGTTATCAGAGAATATGTCAAATTCAAGGCCTCGCTATGGGGTCAAATATAGGTCAAAAATGAAAAAATCAAGAATACTTTTTTACAATAACACATATCGTTGGCATTTACCTTCATTCAAGGTCACAGGGGTCAAATGTTCNCAAATTTTAAAAAAAAAAAAAAAAAAAATAAAAAATCATTTTTTTTTTTTGTACACTTCATTTTTAAGAGTGCATTCTTATGAGGATAATTTTAAAGTTTCAAGGTCAAAGCATCATAGTGCACATAAATAGCTTAATGACAGATGATTTCTTAAAGAATGGTCAAAATACTTCCGTCACATTGTACAAAGGGAAACAACTCTAACAGAAAACTCAACCTCTAGTTTGTCTACAATATTATGAGTCATTGTCCGTCCTAGACTTAGATGTTGCTCAGTCAAATTAACAGAGCTGTCAATCACCATTGCCTGTGTAACCATCAGCATACGTACTGTTGTTTGGTGTTGGTGGGTCCAAATAACAGAGGTGACAAACACAACTACATCAGGTAATTAACATCCCCACAAAGGGGAGGGGGCAGAAGAAAGAAACACTAAACAGCTTTCTATTAATGCTGACTGTTCAGAAATAACTTGACCCTATGGTAAGGTTGGTAAGAGAAGGGAAGCTAAGAGAAGCGAAGGGAAGCGAGAGAGCAGTCGGAGAACATATCTTTGATCATTTTCCTGTTGGAAATACCGTGTTTAGATCTTGGTATTTGAATATGTTTTGCAGGGGGTTGACATTTTGGGTGACTATTAAATATTTCAGCTTGTTGAACATTAACATTGAAAACAAAAATGTGTCTGTTGTGAAGAAAATAAAAGCTTGACGACTTTTACTAAAATTTTCAAAAGGTTACCTCTGGGTAAAGTTGTTGAAAAGGTTGTTTAGCTTAAGAAAAGAATAGAGAAATCTCGGTAATTTTAATAATTCATAATACTCAAGTATTGTGCGATTATAGGTTAATTGCCTTATACAAACTTATGCCATTGACTAACATGACTTTAACAGTCCGTATGTAAATATATCGTTTAAAGATGATAATATAATCAGAGAAGATGAGAACATGCACGTATAACAAACATTTAAAAATCATGCCGAATATTACAATAAATAAAATTTCACTTGCCAAAAGCGGTATATGGACTAGTGTGAAAGCATGTGTAAAAGTGGAATGTATCACATGGCTACCCTGTTATGAGTGTAATAACACCTTAGAGGGTTTTGATTTGTCAGTTGACATAGCCTGTAAAAAGAACTATTTTTTTACTACGAGTCGTAGTATAAAACAATATGGCTACTTCGACAATCAATGATATTTTTAGTATAGGCAACAGTGGTATCGCGAAAATCCGTCTTGATAAAGGACCTAACAAATAAAGAGTGTAGATGTACGGGGTTGATTTTGCGATTAATGCCAGGAAACCATCTGAAACTTGTATCAGACGAGCCAACTAGACCCCATATTACCGCGAATACCAACCGAATCATGCAGATAACGAGTCATAGGAATATACAATCTTTAACAAAATTCATTAACTCTGATCAGCACAAAGCTCAGCTCGCGCATATTCTCCATCCCTGCAGGAACAATGTCAACAGAATAAGTTGACTCCAACTTGTAACAACAACCACGAACACGGCCTCGGCAGTCATCCAAGAGTCGTTAATCGTAGAAGAATCGTTTAAGACTGCAACAGTGACTAGTCAGGCGGGGGGAAATATGCGACCTTGATTTTGTACTTGCGCGTGCGCGCGCTATGACGCGACTTTCTGCAATGACTCGTCTGTCTGCCAGTCTGGCGAGGTCATGATTTAGGTCGTTGTGTTCAAAACATTGTCTCACTTGCATTAATGATAACAAACACGCATTTTCGATGTAAATTTGCTAATTCAAACAAAAGCTTACAATTTAAATAATGAAATGAGTTGATACCATTGTAAAATTAAGTACATATTTGGGAACTTTGTTTCATGGCAATCTATGGAATGATATTCTTTGAGCAACGTTATTCGGTTACTATTGATAAGGAAGGAATTAAATAAATGAGTTCAAAATTGATGTTTTATCAACATTTTACGTCGTGTGATAAACAGAATCTTACATGAGAGCTTCACATAAATCTCATATCAAATGGAAACTCATGTGAGATCCTCTATTTATAATTTATTTTGAAATTTTTATAATATTGTAATGTGAAATACACTCTGAAAATTAGCAAATACAAAAAAATAAATGCCTAATTTGTTCTCACATTATCTGGTATAAT